ACAAAAACGGAAATGGAAGGTTTTGTCCCGACAGCGGTGATATATAGACCATATGGATGGTGTTTGCAAGCTCAAATGTCCGTGTCGTGTTGAATCTAGAACAGCCAAAAAATTTTCATATGAACTGCTGTTAGCTTAGCGCTAACATACTACTAGAATCCTATTGGAGAGGTAGTAAAAATGAGCATTCTAATAGAACTCCTTTTTGATATATACAGCCTGAGTTGAAGGCTCAACTCTAATAGTCATGGTTTGCCACTGAATCACATAAAGCATTACTAGCATTACTACTATCCAACTACCGTGCAGAGTCATCAGTTGAATGTAAGAGGATGTTGGAGGATGTGTCCAGGACAGCAGATACTCCTAGCTGCTACCGAAATCCAAGGCCCCATCAGCCCTCTTGCTGAAGACCTACACAAGTTTGGACTCACACTAACCACCAAAATGTGTTTTCAGATTTTTTTGGAGAACAATAAGAGGGTCTCCATCTTTCTGGACACATCTAACTTATTTAATTATTAGCTTCCTATTAATGATTTAATTTCTGAAGCTGCAGAAAATGTGAAGTGGTTACAAAAACAATGACTCCAGACCTTTGAAGGGTGGTGTACCAGCAGCATCCTCTAATGCTCCTCTAAGCCATGAAGTGTGCTCTCTGTCACGTATTAGCTCTGGTCATTGTCCATTCTTTATTTGTGGCCAGGTCACGGCACTGCAAATGAATGGCTCTGCTTAGTCCTGAATGTGAATGTGTGTGCAGCCGCCTTGCTTTGGGCCTCAGCGTGTACTTCACTGCTCTGCTAATGGTGGCAAAACACGAGAATGATCTGATATGCCAAGAGGAAATGGCAGAGATGAAAAGACAAAAGAGTGACTGATCCGTGGGAAATTAATTTGCTGCTTGTCAACATAGCTGTGCAAGAATCACAGAGGCAGACAGAATGAGCTGGAGCTGGAGACCCTTCAGTTATTTAATTTCCAGTCAAAATGACTGTTACGTACAAGCAATTCATTTTTCAGGAGGAGGACATGAGATATAATCCAATGCAGTTAACAGCAGCTAAAATTAAATATTATTTAGAGAAAATGAGACTCATAACAACCATGGAAGACCCGGCAGATCAGGGTTTCTGTCCATTCCTCCACTATAGGTCTGAAAGGATGTGTAGCTGTCAAGAAGCCCTTACTGAGAAAATGAGACACAAAAAGAAGAAACCAAATAAAGAAGCTGCTGGTGTTCTCAGAACAATGGACTGACCACCCCAGAGTCCAGACCTCAACATCACTGAATGTGTTTGGGATTACTTCGATCGCAGAAAATGCAACCAACTTCTAAGACTGAACTTTGGAGGTGTGACTGCAGATTTCTTTGAAAAACTGAAAGCGAGTCTCCCACCAGGATGGAAGCTGCAATAAAGGCAAAGAGTGAACACAGAGCGAACAATACTGAATATCTATATACGTGTGTGTGTGTGTGTGTGTGTGTGTGCGTGTGTATTTAGGCTTGAGGCTTATATGTAATTTTCTGTTTGTTTTTTTTTGCCTTTTTCAAGTATAACCATAGTGCAGAGTTCACTGCATCATCACGAATAAGCTTGAACTTATCATACTATCCTATGAAAATAAGAGGATAATGTGGCATCAGGAAACATGCAGCTACAGAACATGACTGCGCTGACATCGCTAACTTGTTTGAGATGTTTAGACTGTGTATTTAGCCATTAGCTAAAACAGATAAATGATAGTGGTATTTAAAATTACGACAGTGTCCAATTTATGTTCCATATCTATCTAACAAACTATCAAATATGGTGTGTAGAGCTGCTCTGGTACCAGGTAGCAGTTGCATAGCATACTACAGCTTTTTAGCTTTTAGCTAAACAAGTGACAGAAAGACAAAATGCAACCTGTTCTATGGTGTGTTAGGCTAAGTTATAAGCCTGCTAAGCTTGCACTGGCATAATAGGCTCCTCTGTGCTCTCCTTAGCACTGTTCAATACTTAGCAACTGTTGTTCAGTTTTTTTCAGTTTATTTTTTAAATCTTGCTAGTTACATTATTTTGGTATCATCTTTGGAAAACATCTAAACCAGGAAGTAAGAAACCGTTAATAATTTGCATGCATATGCATATTTCTAAATCTTCGCATTACTTATGAGGTTTAGGGATGCCACTTTCAGTGCTTTCCTGAGCATAAAATATACACAAACATATTTAACAATGCTATATTAAACATAGATTATAGTTTATGGTTTACACTATAATGCATGTAACATATATACAACTTTAGGGGTACTTTATGTACTGACAATATCCATGATATGATCAGAAAAGCATGTTGTGATGTAACCAAAAACCAAAAACCCCAAAAAAATAATGAAAAACATTGCCATATTGTCCATCCGACTGTGCAAAATCTACATTTTATGTCTCCTGGCTGTTGTGCATGCAGGTTGCATTGTTCATGACACTATTACTGTCATGTTCATAACAACACTGCAACAGTCAAAATATTTTAGCCAACTTAAGCCATTTACTCACTGTTACACCATGTATGGTAACCTAAGAGAGTAACACTGGCCATTTTTAGCACAGTGGACAGGTTTGGTGCATTTCACCTTGGCTTAGGCTTCAGGAAGAAAAATGAGACAGCAAGTTGGCATCGGCGTAGATCTGCAGGTCTTTGGTTTGACCTCTTCAGTGACACGCTGACCCTTGAGTAGTTTACAGATAAACTCAATCCCTTCAGATAAAGCACATGCCACAGCGACCAGGTCATGGAAAGTCTTGAGATTGACTAAGAGAGGGGCCACACACACATGCAGGGACACACACACACACAGAGAGACATCCTTTGGTGCTGAGATAATGTGATGGCAGGATTGGCCCCTATTAAAAGGGTTTATTTGTTGAGCTGTCCATTTTTCCATTGCCCTTAAATGGAGCGCTATGATAACTCATGGAGGTCCCAGTTACACAACTTCCACTCCCTGTCTTCAGTTTGGACGAGAAGAAGAGCAGCGCTCTCCAACAAGAGCGAGAAAATATTTGCTCAGTGTCTGCAGCGGTTATTTAATAGCCTCCTCTAACCCTTTCAGCATTGCTTAAAAGTCTCTGCAAAGCAACATCCTTCTGGACGAGGTTACTAAAGGGGCATTCCAGCCTAAAACTAGCAGTTAATATGTCATTTATCATGTTCTGTAATATACTGTAGCTCAGCATTACATCCCTCATCCTGACAGAACTCACAATTCTGTGTCTTTTTTGTCCAACAGTTTTCCCTCACTACAGTACCCAGTATGCATTACGCAAACATGCTATCCCTCCCAGATAAAGGAATCCTGATTGCGAGGACAGACACTAGCAGTGTTTCAAAGCTAAGGCCGCAGTCGAGGCAGGAGGGACCTTCCTAGAGCAGGTATACAAAGATTCCTCCTCAGTGTTCATGCACATTTTATCGCTTTCCAAGAAAAACATGTATTTGTCTTTTTTTTTTTTTCCTTTTCTACACCATTTGCATAAGGCAGCTGTCCTTTACATTGTGTGACAGTTTCATTATGATTAAACCAATAGAAATGCTCCAAAACTGCTAATAATAAAAGCTCTTTACATTGAATTACATTGAATGTAAAGTAACTACAGTATTTGACATTTGAGTATTTGAAAACTGGCTTCTATGGGTGGTCGATCATTTAATGTATTAGCTCCCAAATTATGGAATACTCTCCACCAGTCTATTCGGGATACGACCTCTCTATCTTCATTTAAATCTCTGTTAAAGGCGTACTTGTTTTCACAGTGTTATCATTGCTCCGTTTATACTTGAATGTTTACCTGTATTGTCCTTTTGTTTAATGTGTTGATGTATAATGTGTTGATGTTCCTTGATTGAAAAGCATCCTTGAGCATGGGAAAGGCGCTATATAAATAAAAGTGATGAGTATTTTGGACATAATTGGTTTTCTTTGGACAGTGAAGAATTGAGAAGGCCTGTGCAGGCTGTGCTGACACATCACACGTTTAAAAATATATTATATTCTATTACAAACTCTGCCGCTGCAGCATCTCTCCACTCACGGCTGTTTCTGACATTTTTTAAACTGTTTTGAGCTGTCTGTGAAGGATTGTGGGAGAAAAAACATTGCAAAACAGCCTGTCTGCTAGTACCCCCACCCCACCCTCTACCTTAAAGATACATCACCAGAAGATGGTTTCCTAGTTTTTAATCCTTAAAATCTCGCTCTACAGACTACTGCAGCCCGCGAAGATGTGAGTAGGCATCCTAACTGACAACACATAACTAATGTGGCAATGGTTAAATTTTCCACTTTGTCCCTTTAAAGAGAAATTCCACCAATTTTTTCAAACTTTTCGAACAATTCAGTCCTTGAAATGTAAACAGGGTCAATCAAAGTGGTTTGGTGTGAAATGTTTCCCTGCAGGGACTCAGATTTCTTTACAGTGGTGGTGATAGGAACCAGGGGTCACCACTTCTACAACACAAATACGGCCATTTTATTCACTATCCAAAACCACCATGAACCTCCACGCGTCTTCTAAGCTTAAAGTTGATGGTAAAATAATCATGAATCTTAAAAAATAAGTTTTCGTTGGGGACTATTTTGACCTGACTGCATGGCCCTCCTTGGATTCAATTACATTTTAAGCCAAAACTGTAACAAAACTATAATAAAACAATGTTTCAGGCTTTAGGCTGGGTATTCATAACCATTTCATGTAATGACATTCTGTGAGGAAGCTTTTGGAGGTGGACGTCTGGTTCCTATCACCACCACTGTGAACAGTTCTTATGACTGGGAGCACAGCAAACCACTCTGAATGGCTCTGTTTGCATCTCAACCATTTATTTTTGTGGAAATTTTTGAAAAACCGGTTGAGTTCCCCTTTGAGCTAGAAGAGCATTAAGAGCATGACGTCAATGCATCAACATAATTCGTTTAACCTAAAGTTCATTAACATTGCGGTCTGACAAACATAGCCCCGCTCAACATACCGAACGGCGGCCTCTGCTGACCGACTCGGCCCTGATTTCAAGCAGGGTTGAGAGGTTATTGGAGTGTAAGCAGACAGATAGCAGCACCATGGCGCCCACCGCACGCCAAACAGCCGCGAGCCCGCATCCTTCCAGCCTGCACCCTCGCCGCCGACACGCCTGAATGTCCTGAATGTGCGCTAACCTACATTCACATTTGTGGGCCGAAGCAAACAGCAAAAGCACGCCTGCGGAAAATGCGTTGATTGGGTTGTTATCGACCGTAACTACTGGATGCTAGCTGAGGTAGTTAGCTGACTGGCTACCTAGCTGGGTAGGTGACTCGCTGGTTTGTTGTGTCCTGCTGCTGTAACGATAGCAGAAGTCTGTGTTTGAAGCTAAACGACTAGCTAACCTGCATTAGAAACAAACCAGATACGCTGTTGTAGTAAACTTGGCTGAACCGGAGAGACACACCTGGTTTTGTACTGAGCTGAATGTAACTGCTGCACCATTTAAGGTGGACCGGGCAAACTCGAATAAGAAGCCAACTTCAGTTTCTTTAGTTTTGTTGTATACGCTAGCTAGCTGGGTAGCTAACTTAGCAACAAGCTAAGCCAGGAGTGCACAGCTCCGGTGTCCAGCACACTTTGTTGATTTACCTGCTCCAACACACCTGACAACACTTATCCTTTAATTGCCAGGTTAAGTGGGTGTGCTTGAGCAGGGAAACCCCCAAACTGTGCTGGACACCGGCCCTCCAGGACCGGCGTTGTGCACCCCTATGCTAAGCTAACTAGCTGAGTCGTTGCTGTAGAACTTGGCTAAAGCGAGTGGTCCCATCATTTAGACGCTAGCTTTAGCCAACTAGCTGCCCTTTGCAGTAGAAACAAGCCAAACTAACGTTTGTTATGTTGTAGTAGAACATATTAGGAGCGCAAAGCAGCTGTAGCACTAAAGCACTATAGCACTAAAAGTAGCTGCTGAAGCTTTAGCTAGCTAGCCTCAGTAACTGTGGTGCTAGGCTAAGCTAAGCTAAGCTAGCTTTGCTGTCAGCCTCGTGTGTTCTAACATTACCTTGTCGAGCCGGTGTCGACGCTAACTAACACTCCTTCCTCCTTTTATTGATGGTTGGTCATTAACGTTATATAGCTATAAATCTAGATCGTTGCTATTATTTTTTGAGGCTGCAAAGACGTTCAAAGGGGAACTCCACCGATTTTTTTTAAAATTTCTGCAGTATTAAATGGCTAACATGTCAACAAAGTCATTCAGAGTGGTGGCTGCCCTGCTCAAACACACCATATAAACCTGTTTTTTTTATATGAATATATTTTATTAGTTCAGAATACCATCAATGAAGGGACAGTGTATTGGGGAATGTGCACTGTTGATAACTTCTTTAGTAAAAAAAATCATGCCACTGATTGAGTGTTCAGCAATTTTACAGGGCTGAGGTGGCAACCCTGCCTCAACAGGCAGCATTCATTGCTCACATTGCTTACATAGATGAGTGTAATCAGGTGTGTTTGAGCAGGTAAATCACCAAGTCGTGCTGGACGCCGAGCCCTCCAGGAGGGGGTTGTGCACCTGTGTTCTAGAGAAACTTTACAGTGATGGTGATGGGAACCAGACATCCACCTCTAAAAGCTCCCTCACAGAAAGTTATTGCATGAAATAGTAATGAATACTCAGACTGATGTCTGAAACACTGATTCACAGTAATTGTTTGAGAGGGTTTTAGTCTAAAACATTTTAATCCATTCATTGTGGAGGGCATTGCAAGGCAAAACAGCCCCCAAAGAAAACTTATTTTTCAGAGTGACCATTATTTTGCCCTCATAGGCATTACATAGAAAACTCAGAAGACACGTATATGTTCACTGGTGGTTTTGGATAGTAAATGAAATGGCTGTTTGTATTGTAGACATCAGCACCCCTGGTTTCTATCACTGCCGCTGAAAAGAAATCTGAGTCGGCAAGTTTCTCTACAAATGAATTATTTAACATCAAACAACTCTGAACGACTTTGTTTATATCTTAACCAACTAATTTTGCAGAGCTTGAAAAATGTCTGGAATTCTGCTTTAAGCTTGTTATTCAATAACATTAGTGATGGTAGCACTGAAAAGGCTTGTGAACACGTTGTATTCCTAATACATCTCTTTTTGATAATAATGTGCTACTGTGATTTGAGAGAGTGAAAGAAACTTTGCTCTTGGCGTAAAACATAGTCATGGTCATTTAGCATTAGTGTGACTTGGAGCATCTGGACATTACCATGAAGTGGGTAATTAAATACATAGCTAGTTTAATAGAGAAGCTGTCATCACATGTGATGCAGCTTTAATCATTACTACATAACGTTAACATAGTGGTGAGCTGGTTATAAGCTGTTTAGCTTCTGTGACAGCATTGAGCCCACAAGGTAATGCCGTAATTGATTATTGTAACTTGCATGGCGAGAGGCAGTGGACTACAGACTGAATTGGGCTGTAACCTCTGCTTCTGGCTATGTTTTTATGTGCCAGTGCCATGGCACCATATGAGCCCTGCCTGGCAATCAGCTTTCCAGTGTATTCATTCAGTGAGCTGTCACATGAAGTATTGAAGGGAATTGAACTGATTTTAAAATGGGCGTAATTCAGTTGTTGAGATGTAAACAAAGTCATTTAGAGTGGTTAGATGTGAAATGGTGCGTTGTAGAGAAACTTGCCGACCTGGATTTTTTTACTCTGGTGGTCATAGTCTCACTAGTTACAATTCAAACGAAGCCATTTTATCTACTATTCAAAACGATTAGTGGTCCGATACGCATCTTCTGAGTTTTTATATGTAATGTTGATGGTAAAATATTGGTAAATCGTGGCAGTTTTTGTTGAGGACTGTTTTCACGATGCTGTGCATTCTGTGCCATAAATATATTTAAAAATATGTTTTAGCTGTAGCTGTTTCAGACATCAGCCAGCATATTCATAACCACTTCATGTAATAACTCTCTGTGAGGGAGCTTATAGAGGCATTAAACTGTTCAACCATCTGGTTCCCATCACTACCACTGTAAACAATTCTGACTTGGTAAGTTTCTTTGAAATCACGCTTTTCGTGTTACATTTAAGAAAATCACGTTATACTTGCTGAACCTCATTTTGGGGCCCTAAGGAATCTGGACAGAACTATTGAAGTGCAAAGACAGTACAGTTGACCTGGTCAGGTTTGGTGAGTTTTGACATAATTGGCTGCATCTGTGTAGACAAGATTTGTCTTTACCCTTCATTTCAGATCCTGGAACATGTAGGATGGTGTTTAATTTCTTTTGAAGTCCGCCGCAGTTAAAGTGTAAACCTGATTCTCCAGGTGCAGACGTTGATTGCCTGACATTCAGTTGTCTTGGCGTGTCACACTTTAACCAACCAGACACATCTTTGAAGTGCCCAAGTTGGCCTTAAGATAAATAGAAGTACAAAGTTCTTAATAGGCCTCCACCGTAAATCAGTTTACTGACAGTAATGGGCAAAGTCAGAAAGCCTGTCAGTGCCTAATGGCATCTGCGTGGGACACTTCTGAAGCGTGTGCTGTAATGTTTATGATGTGTCACATTGGTTTGTTGGTTTATGGGAATGAGGAGGAGTGTGTTTGCTGGTCATGATGTAGTAAAAATGCCCCTATTAGATCAGTCTAATGTGCATTGAACTTGCTTTGAAACTTTGAGGCTGATAAATTGCTCATATTTGTAGACACAAGTTTAGGAGTGCAAAACGTCTGTCGCTTATGAAATATGTGCAATATGCTGCTTGAGTCTTATGTATTATTTATATATTAGGGCTGTCAATTATGTGAAATTGTTCGTTGATGCTTCCAGAGGCATTGTTGTGTGTAGCATTGTTTTTGTAGTTAATATTGATTAATCACTTTTGGTTTTTTCTCTTATTTTGACCCTAAAGATTTTCCAAAGCAATTACCGACACTCAGTGAGAGCAACAGTGGCTGCATTTGCCCATAGGTCTCCCGTGAGCACTGTCCAGCGCAAAGGGCTGTCGTCTGTTTTGGAGATCCCTAGGTTGAACTATGCATCCGTTTTCTTGATAAAATTCACTTCGATAGCATGATTTACAAAACCAGATTTTCATCTTTGTAGGTGAGCAAACAAGTCAACATTAACAAGTGTTTTTATTGTGTTTAAGTACTGTTTGTTATTGTGGCAGCTGTACACAATTCGATATGTAGAAACCTGCAAACCAGCCTTTTGTCTCAGCACAGCCGCAGAAGGGGCTCAGCCCTTGGCTTTCACTCCTCATTGCTCGCTAGCAGCTAAACAATCACAATCTGATAACGGGGGAAAAATATTTCATTTGATTACATTAATAAAAATATCCAAGCTGATTTTTATTGCCCTGGCAGAATGGCCGCTATAGGGGGACTATAGGAAGAGGCTACAGCAGCTAATGTTTGAATAAGAGGGCTGCAATCACAGATTGCATATTATGCACATAATGCATTTTATGTGCAGTTTTGCTGTGTGTGTATGGAAGATTGAAGGCCTTTTACATGTGTCAGGTCTGCTGTTTCACCAGTGCTTTATTAGTCATTACTTCTAACATGCATTAATGTGTATGGTCTTTAGGCAAAAGTGCATGCAGAGATGAGATCTCCTCACTAAACCTATTAACTAAATGGAAAAATGACTTGGCTACTTGATATTTTGATAACCCAAATGACTGAATTTACAATTACAGCTGCCCTAAGTTCCGCAGTGATGTCTACATTCTATACGGTTTCCCATTGGGATGGAGTAGAGCCAGTCTAATTGGATGCATGAACCAAGCATGAAGGACGAAGGCAGCAATTCCCACTTTGTCTCCTCTCTGTGGTTATTTGATTTACTGGAAGAAAACAAGTGAATTGCAATTGCTGCATTCTCCCCTGTCTTCGGAAAGGAGTGGCACTGCAGTGGAATTAGCCACTGCTGTGTGTAGGGAATCAGAGCTGGCTCAAGTGTGCAGATAGCATGATGGTGCTTGTCACTAATACTGAATGTTCAGTGTCTTCGTTTGCCTATCAGTAATTGCTTCATATATAAAGTCTTTTTTCTGTAGTGGATGGATGGTAGGGGTGGGCGATATGTTATGTTTATCGTGATTTAATGGTGTTGCAGTGCACTTTCGTATGTGTATCATAGGTACAAACGCATGTACAGTAACTGCATAAACTCCAGTAGTAGCAAGTAGTTGGTTGGATGGCAGCTCATTATGCCACTGACTGATTTTCATACTAAAATAATAAAAAAACACTGTAGTTTCTCATAACCTTTTTCAGATTAGGGCACTACATTTT